TAGAAAAGGTCGACCCTAAAAATGTCACACCTCACCTTACCTCACGGATTTCCGTCTCCGGCGGTAAGGCCACCTGAAGAACGGAGCTAACACGTCAAAAACCTTCTACAAAAAGGCCGTGCGCGACCGGCCTCAAGCAGTTGTCCCTTGGGCTCTGCGGTCACGCTCCCAGGTCGTTAAGACCAACACTAATCCAATTTCCTTTTCAGGTTCCTCAAGAAATACCCTTCCACGGTGTGGGCAGCCGGGAAGTGACATCAGCCCTCATACCCGTAACAGCACGCGAGACCAAGTTGGTCACATTCAAATCCTTCCTACACCTAATACCTCTCTTATCTCCATGACTAACCCTCCTAACGTCTCTTTATCACCTCGCACCGCTAGGGCAAACGATTCGAGTACGTGGAACGCTATTCCTGGTCTCCTGAAACCACGCTCTAAACTACACGTAGGAGCTTTTAACGTACGAACACTGTGCCAAATAGGACAGCAGGCTTCCTTAGCTAGGACTTTAGAATCTTACGCCATCGATGTGTGTTGCGTCTCCGAAACGCGCATACAGGATCCAAGTAGCATCATTCATTTGACCTCACCATGCCAAAATAAAGAACCGACTCGATTTACGCTTCGTGTATCTGGAAGCCCTGATTCTGCTTCCCGTGGCCTCGCCGGCGTAGGTATAGCATTGAGTCCTAGGGCAGAACTAGCTCTCTTAGAGTGGATCCCAGTAGACAGTCGTTTGTGCGCTGTCCGACTGAATGGAACAGTAAGAATCCGGAAAGATAGGGACACTCGTCGTTGCCTCTTCGTCGTCTCTGCCTATTCTCCCACTGACTGCAGCTCAGATGATGTAAAAGATGAGTTTTACAGAAAGCTTTCGGACCTTCTCCGAAAAGCTAAGCGCTCGGATGTAGTAATAGTGGCCGGTGACTTTAATGCTCAAGTAGGTAAACTGAGCGATAGGGAAAGACACCTAGGTGGATCTTATGGTGTCGTGGCTCAAAGAACAGATAACGGCGACCGTCTGTTACAGCTATGCTCAGATAACCGTCTATTCCTTGCAAATACTAACTTTAAGCATAAGGAAAAACATCTTTTAACATGGCGACCCCCTAATTCGTCCCAACGTTGGACCCAAATAGATCACATCGCTATAAGCCACCGATGGAGGGGCTCGATAGAAGACTGTCGCTCATTCTGGAGCACATGCCTAGATTCAGATCATGCTCTAGTACGAGCGCGTATTTGCTTGCGTCTTACTGGACGTAGGAAAAACGCTGCAAGGAAACCTCTTAGGGGCCTACTTAATGATAGTCAAACTAAGAGTATATTTCAGGAACAACTAGGAAAACAGTTAGGCAGCCATGTATGTGATGCCCACCCCGAGGCAGCATGGAATGATATCCGAAAAGCTGTGGAAACAGCAGTGATATCTGTTAGTAAGGTAAACCAGAAGGTTAGGGAGCAACACTGGATCTCAGCAGCATCTATCGCACTGATAGATGCTCGGAAACTCATTCCACCTGGCTCTGAACATAGTGAAGAGCGGAGTCAACTTAAGCGCAAACTGACAAGAAGTCTACGCAACGATCGCGAACAGTGGTGGGTAGCGAAAGCAAGAGAGATGGAAAAGGCAACGGCAATAGGTAATAGCAGACAATTGTTCAGACTCGTTAAGGAAACCGGTATTAGGAAACCGACTGTTAGCGAAACAATCGCAGAGAAAGATGGACATATTATTCATTCTCAATCCAGGAGATTGGATCGATGGGCAGAACACTTTAGGGATCAGTTCAACTGGCCTTCAGCCACACTTCGGTTTCCCACGATCTCCAGTCAACCTGAATGGCAAGTTAATGTAGGTCCTCCGTCTCTTTATGAGGTTGAAAAAGCCATAGGAAATTTGAAACGAGGGAGAGCAGCAGGCCCTGACAGGTTTACTCCTGAGATTTTTAAGGATGGTGGTCCAGTATTAGCAATGAGATTAACCGAGGTCTTAGGTAGAATTTGGGAACTGGACGTAATCCCATCTGACTGGTCTCAATCACTGATTGTACCAGTTTATAAGAAAGGACAAAAGTCCTCTTGTGACAATCACAGAGGAATCAGTTTGACCAATATAGTGTCTAAAATATTAGCTTCAATAATACTTCGACGCCTAACCAAAGCTCGTGAAGAGCAAACTAGAGAAAACCAGGCCGGTTTTCGACCTGGACGTGGTTGTATAGATCAGATATTCACACTACGTCAGGTTCTAGAACACAGACACACATTCAGACGCCCCACAATGGTAGTATTTCTCGATCTTAAGGCGGCATTCGACTCTGTTGACCGTGAGGTTCTATGGCAGTGTTTGTCACTGAAAGGAGTACCAAAGAAGTACATTAACCTTATTCAGGCTCTCTACTCGAACACAACTGGTAGAGTGAGAGCTTATGGCGAACTGTCATCAGAATTGATTACCTCAAGTGATGTTCGTCAGGGCTGTCCACTCTCCCCATTCTTGTTCAACTTTGTGGTCGACGTACTTTTAGAGATAACACTCTCCTCATCTAAATTTTCGGGAGTTGAACTTCTACCGGGAGGTTCACTTGTTGACTTAGAATATGCAGATGACATAGTTTTATTTGGTGAAGACGCTGACAAAATGCAGAGTCTTCTGACCACTCTAAGCAACAATGCAAGCATGTTCGGGATGCGATTCTCTCCCTCGAAATGCAAAATGTTGCTTCAGGATTGGGTTACATCGACACCCGAACTAGTGATAGGGAGTGAAGTAGTTGAGCGTGTCGACCGCTTCACTTATCTTGGAAGTCTCATCAGCCCTTGTGGTCTGGTGTGTGACGAAATCTCAGCACGGATACAGAAGGCTCGACTAGCTTTTGCCAACTTGCGTCATTTATGGCGTAGGCGAGATATCCGTCTACCAACCAAAGGACGTGTTTACTGCGCAGTAGTTCGTTCCGTCCTACTTTATGGCTGTGAAACATGGCCGGTAAGAGTAGAGGATATTCGTAGGTTACTAGTATTTGATCATAGGTGTCTTCGAAGTATTGCTCGTATATCCTGGGACCACCGAGTAAGTAACGCAGCTGTTAGGAAACGGGTACTAGGTAAGGATGGCAAATCAATTGATGAAGTAGTGAAACTTCATCAGTTGAGATGGCTGGGACACGTGTTACGTATGCCCAACCACCGACTACCTCGACGTGCTATATTCAGTGGTATAGGAGTAGGTTGGAAGAAAGCTAGGGGCGGCCAGACCAAAACATGGCACAAATCCATGAAGTCACTGACAAGTGGACTGAGTCATGTTGGTAGATGTAGACTACCTGGTTGGGGACCGCGAGATGATAGCAACCGATGGTTAGAGACCCTGAATGACATGGCTCAAAATCGATTGCAATGGCGCAGGTGCATCCACTCTCTATGTTCTCCCAAATTCTAATTATCTGAATTCTTCATGCCCCTTTTTTCCTCTTTCCAAATTTATTTCACTGGATTATACTCGTTAAATAACATCTCCAAACCCTAATCCTCCCGATTACTGCTTATACTCTTGCTACCTCTACCACTACGGGATTTGAATCGACCACTGCATCTCTGTGCTAATGTGGTATGGCAACTCGAACTGATGTACGTACGTACTAAGTTCTACGTTGTTACTGACTGTTACTGACTGTTCAGTCACAATAAGTAGAATAGTATTATAGCAAAAATGAAAATGCAAAAAGTTGTGCGAATAAAATGCATAGTAGGATAATTTAATCTTGTCAATTGAGATAATAATAATAAGATTATTGTGTGAATATAAATGAGAGTCGTTTTATTGAATGGTGATAAACAATGAGTAAGGCTATAATACATCATTATGTTGATGTCCGATTTGTTTCCATACACTCAGTAATTTTTGCAAAAACAGAAATTAACACTGACAAAGTTTTGTCGAAGTCAATTCAGAATACATTCTTCATGATTACTATGTTGATTTACACTTCATAGTTCACTTTTCTTATTTTGAGGATATAAATACTTCCATTCATTCAAGTTTCAGTAAATACATATTGTGAATATGGATTGCAACATACATCGTCTGAGTAATAAGAGATTATCGTTTGATAAATGATACAAATAACAAGAGAATAAGGTGGAGAGAATTATCCATGCAAACCATCAGTAATCACACTGTACATTTTGCAAATAGTTCCTCTCCAACAGCTTATAGTAAACCTTATTTAAGAGGTGTATATTCACTTGTACGCAGTAAGCTTAGTGGATGATGGTCTTCACTGAATTAAAACCGGAATTCTTAGTATCAGTCGGTCCTTTGTTATTTTCGAATGATTTCTATTCCGACTGACGTCAATCACATTCAATTGATCAAGTGTATTGACCAATGGCAAGATGCCCATATTACATGGATCCTGTGAACTGAGTTACGAAACATGGTCACCGGTGAAAGTGAACTCAAATTTCAACATAATTTAGCTGACGTTTGTCCAAAATTATAACAAACACTTAGTTCTGTAGGGACATTAGATCGTGTAGCCGAAATCAACATATAATCATCTCGAATTTGAATGCTGCTACATTATTGATGGTCAGGAACGAGAAATAGAGTTCAGCTCCAGTGACCAGTGGAGAGGTGTAGGCATTCACATCGAACGATTCCATTTTGACGCGAAAGTCGAAACACAAAATTCTATAAAAGGTAATGCTATGATTCGATATCAACTGGGTAATCGAAATAGCTTGATTTGCACCTGTTTCCCTTCCAAATCGGTATCATTTCCAACTTGAAAAAAATGATCCACTTCATAAATGGTACCCATGACAATCTAAACTTATCTTTTTATGCACACAATCTTTTCTGATACTGTAACTAATAATACTCTTGGATTTGTCATGGTAATTAATGTGACTGCTAATATGTTGTAACGAATTAAACTGATGCACATGTGTGTCAATTTCTTATGCTGCATATGATTGACTGACCTTAGGAACAAAGAAGAAAAGGATTCTAATGAATGCCATCCAGACACCAGACCTTACACAAAATGCAACAATAAAATTGCTTAAACAGGAACATTTTCATCCAAATAAAGAGCGTTTATAGTCTCTCAGCGTTATATTATTATTATTATCATTATTATTATTATTGTTATTACTTCCACGTCTTCAACTTGTTCTTCACCTTCTCCATACTCGTCAAGTCGACATTTATTTTTTGCATATCTAATTTTATCTAATTATTATTCTTTAAATCTTTGATTGTCACACAACACTTTGTTAACGCTTATTTCACTCTTCTATTTTTCAAGGCTACTTTATTTGTTAGTTAATTATAGGTATGAATGTACAGCTTGGGTTGATAATATTGTTGGGGTAATTTTCCTTACTAAATCGTTTTTAGTTCTTTAATGATATGAGTTACTTTTGCTATTCAAGAGCTTTCACTTTAAATAGACTAGTCGTTTTGTATATTTTTAAGCCAGCTCCTCTTTCTGAATTCCTGACTGTACTTTATAAACATGTGGACTGATTATTTCAAGTAGGAATAATGCTTAGTACCGTCGATATTTTCTGAAACTCGAATTATGTTCGGTGAACAGTGATTTGCTAGAGATTTATTGAAACACATTTTAAGTAAGAGAATTAAGCATCAAATCCTTGTCTCAAACAATAAAAAATATTCTGAGGTATACTTAGTAAGCAGGAAATACAATGTTAAAAATGTTCACTGCTGAATAGTTTACACTTTATGCTTGATTATGACTAAAAATAAACCGAAATCCCGTTCGTTCAGAATAAAAAGCGGCAAAACGAAAAGGAAAGTGTGAAGCGAAACGAATCGGAGAAGGCATGTGAACCAACTCAATTTAGCTAAGCTTGAATCGATATTTACAGTCAAATAAAAACAAGCTACATACATGTGATGAGTAGGGCAATTAATATACACCATACCCTTACTAGGTCAAAATACGACTCAAGAGCAATGAATAAATTGGTTTGTCCAGAATCTAGAACAGCCTATTTGGGTTTAACGTAGCACTAACTACTACTGTGCTTCCTCAGTTTTTGCTACCACTATTCAGTAAAGCGTTTTGCTTACGGCATGCTTACGTGGTTTGTATGACGGAATAACATTCCATTCTCTTTTGAGTATTTTCTTGTAGATACCAGATACCACCACTTTGCTCAAGTCAATGTTGTTACCATTTAGGATCTATCTGCCCGCATATTCTTCCCCGAGTTTTTCTTCTAATTTTATCGAGGCCTATGAAGGAAGGCGATCTCCGGTTCGTTATTTTCTAAAGTATTGTGGATAACCCGCTCCCGCCAATGAGTCCAACAGACAGTGATTTTCCAGTAGTTGTAGATTACAGCGATATATTCGAAAGGATAATGAGACATAGGCACCTGAAAACGTATGGTGAAGCGAAAGATGCTATCGATTTTTTGCGGAAGGTTCGTAATTGAAAATATACCAAATAACATTATTAGATGAGTTGGGCGAATTAGGTCATTTAGGCACCAATACATAGTTTATAGCACAACTACCGGAACTTAACTTAGATTCAAACCTTTTAGCAGTAACATTATTCACTGAAGGTCTATTTCAGAACAACCACGACCATTAGTATGTTTTCTAAAATCTGAAATATCATCACAACAAGCAGTGCACGTTTCCGATGTAACTCATTCTGATATGGTGAACAATATTACAATCATAGCAAAATTCACAGTGAAATCTATTTTTTTAAAAATAAAAATTCAGTTTGATATAACAAATCCATTGGCTACATGAACGTAAACATGACTGCTATTCCGGCCTGCAACACAGTCGACATGACAATGTTTTGTATACATCTTCTGGTTTTTCTTGTTTGCAACTTTTTTCAAAATACGGTATGCTACTTACTGAGATACAGTAGCTCATAGTATTGTCTACCATTTTCAGAGCTTGTGTTCCATGTTCTTCCATGGCGATAATCTGAGAAACACAAAAATTTGTAACATTATTCAAACTTTCAGTTCGTTTTCCCATTTTTCTATCACTTTTTGCCCCTCTTTGTATTATCCATGTCATATGTTCAACCAATCAAGGTCTGGCTAAGTTTGAAAAACTTGCTGCGATGAAGTTCCATCACTTTTGATACAAGAAAATCCGGTAATCTTGGCAGAAAATGATACCGAAAAAGCTGAAGCTTTATCGGAATATTTTAGTAAAGTGTTTTCTATCGGTAATGAGGAACGACCAACGATTCATTGTGGTCGCGGTGGCTCGCTGATGAACCCTGTAGTCATTGAGAAAAGTATTGTTTTAAGGCTACTTCAGCATCTCAAACTAGATAAATCCAGTGGTCCTGATGATATTCATCCTAGGATTATGAAAGCCATACCAGATGTAATTGCTAAACCATTAGCGATACTGTTCGACATGTCTCTAAGGCATTCCAGACTTCCAAGAGACTGGAAAGACGCTATAATAAGTCCGGTGTATAAGGCTGGGAGTAGGGATTTAGTTAATAACTGTAGGCCTGTTAGCTTAACTAGTGCAGTTGTAAAACTGATGGAAAAAATCATTCGGATATCTGTTATAAACTATGTTGAAGGGCAAAATCTTTTCTCCAGGGAACAACATGGTTTTCGGAAAGGCCTATCTTGCTTGACAAATCTTCTCATTGCACGAGAAGATTGGGTTGCGGCAAAGGATCGGAATGCTCCTGTGGATGTGATTTTCATAGATCTAAGTAAAGCCTTTGATAAGGTTTCCCACTCTGGTCTTAAATTCAAACTCAAACGTTTTGGAATCCATTATACAGTCGTCGATTGGATAAGTAGCTTTCTCGATGACAGGAGACAAAGGGTAAGGGTTAATGGGACTATCTCCTCGTGGATACCTGTAAAAAGTGGGGTTCCCCAAGGTACAATCCTAGGTCCTCTTCTCTTTTTACTTTATGTAAATGAATTGCCAACTGTAGCAAAGTCATCCGTTCTACTCTTCGCTGATGACATAAAAATTTGGAGACCCATACACAGTATGTCAGATAGGATAGTATTACAGGACGATCTTAGCTCATTGGTGGCATGGTTGGACTGGTGGTCACTAGAAGTAAATCCTAATAAGAGTGTAGTGATGCAGTTAAATAACTCTGATAAATCGTATGACTATACACTACGTGGATTCGTGCTACCAAAAGTAAGAAACTATAAAGATTTAGGAGTCATATCAAGCAATGATCTCAAAACGACTAGTCACTGTAAGGCTGCTGCTGCGAAAGGCTATAGGGTATTATGGTCAATTCTTAGATCTTTCCAGTATTTAGATGATGAAATGTTTAGATTACTATACCCGATTTATGTGCGACCACATTTAGAATACGGGATTCAAGCAGCGAGTCCTTGTTTCAAATATGAAGCAGATATGCTAGAAAGAGTCCAAAGACGAGCTACTAAGATGGTACAAGGTCTGTCTGGCCTATCTTATGAAGACAGACTGAGACACTTTAACTTATTTCCGTTATCTTACCGTAGAGTACGGGGTGATCTAATATTGGCCTATCGTATACTGAACGATGACCTTGAGAGAGGAAGCTTCTATTGGTGATAATAGTAACAACATAAGACATTTATGACAACAGTTTAGTAATATTATGGATTTCATTTAAAAAAAGTGGTTACAGTTCTAACCAATTCACTTGTCTCATATCGACTAAATTATATATAGGATTCAATGTTATTTTGTTGTTGCATCCTCTACTTTATTACGGTAGAATACTGTAAACAACTGTCGGCAATCGAACGTGTAGAACCACACAGTCGCAAATCAAAAGACGGAAAAAACAAGGGAAGTGATTATTGAATAAGAATAAAAAATACACGAAAAAAGGAGTATTTATAGTTCCTGGTATTAGCTATAACATCATCAGCAAGAAGAAAAGTTACACAATTGACCCAGTGGTATTATAGAAAGTTCTGTCAGGTTTAGATTAGACAGAGTTTCTTCGGCTCGTTTAGATCATTTTTAGTCGTCGTTGTACCTTTCACAGCCATCTTAATATTTTCTAGTCAACAAACTTTAGATTTAGATATAATTTTGATATTTTGCAAGAAAACAATATGGTAATTTTATCTTACTGTTATACTTTAAAGGAATGAAATCAACGGAACAACTGCTACAGTCAATCTAAACATAAAACATGTATTACTTTCCATTTCATGATCTTCAGTAACTTATTTCTTACTTATTTATAAAAAATTAGCTCATCTTTGATGTACAGACAATTTTAATGAGCATCATTCATTCACCTCTACATAGAAAACAAAGTAAAATAGTTCTTATATGCTTTTAAAAAAAATACTTTTTTTTGTTCGATAATCACTAGAAAAAACTGGCTTAAGCATTGCACTGAAGAAAAAAAAATTTTTTTTCCGTAACTATCTTTCTTTCTTGTAATCTAAACCTTAGTGTGAATAACACATCAATTCCATGACTATATTTCTAATGGTAATGTATTGACAAACTTCCATTGGAATGAAATTATTCATATAAGTGAATCAATCATAAATAACTGTTAGTAAAACTGGTAAAACGGTGTGTTTTATACTTTATATGTTGACTTTTGGATACATGTTCTATCGATCACCTGAATACTAAAGTATGAAAGTGATTATTATATAAGTACATACACACACTCACATACTTGTTGTTACAATAAACACGAACAATAAAAAAATAACAGAACAACGATAAAACAGTAAATTTATTAGCAGTAAGGGGTTGTGAAGATTGTTGAATTTCACTGAAATCATGAATTGACTGATGTCAGATCACATTTGAAAACCTGGGGATACTGGACGGTTGTTTTTATCGAAGTATGGGACTCCTCAGAAATACGCATGCTTGACCTCTCATGCAATGCTCAAAACAAGGACCTTCAATTTCACGTGTGAACATTTGACCTCCAGACCACTGAGCCGGAATTAATACCGTTGGATGCCAACTCAGTTGCTCAAATGTTAAACGCTTTTACGTGAGACTGTTCTGTACTCGAGGACTATTTTTAATAATAGTTTCAAAGAGAAAGGTATTTGGTTCGAATTTCAATGTAAATATCACCATCGAGATAAAGATAAATCTGAACGAAGAGTGCAAAAATTGTATGAAACTGGTGTTATATATATATATATATATATATATATATATATATATAT